CTGCATATTGTGCCATGTGCGTGCCGCAGCCTTCTCTGTTTTGTTTGTTCAGAGATGGTACCACTGTTCAGAATATGGTGTGAAAAGTGTCAGAGTAGCTAAAAATAAACTCTGTTTAAACACTTCAGAATGTTTACTCAGAATGTGCAATACCTTTACCATAGAACCTCAGAGTTACGAACACCTCAGGAATTGAGGTTGCCTGTAGCTCTGAAATGTTCATAACTCTGAACAAAATGTTACTGTTGTTCTTTCAAAGTTTACAACTGAACATTTACTTAATAAAGCTTTGAAACTTTACTATGCAGAAGAAAAATGCTGGTTTCCCTTTATCTTTTTAGCAGTTTACATTTAACACAGTAATGTACTGTATTTGCTTCTTTTTGTTTATTTGTTTTGTCTCTCGTGCTGCCTGATTGTGTACTTCCGGTTCCAAATGAGATGTGTGAGTGACTGGTCAGTTCATAACTGTGGTGTTTGTAACTTTGAGGTTCTACTGTATTTCAAAATCACTACTAGCAAAAAAATAAAGGTAATTGCCATAATACAGCTGTCAAAAGAGAAATAACATTAATCACAAAATAACAGCAGTCTAATTCCCAGCCTGAGTTTTACTAGGGTAAATTAGAAATTCCTTCACCTAACAATCATCTGCAATACCATTAATCTGCATTGCTTCTTTCCAGGCTCATATTGCAATGAAGCAGGAAGCAAAGGCATTGCCATTGAATCAGAGGTAAGATTGTCAATGATATACTTGCATGCACAAGTTCTTACATTCCAAATCAGGGAACTGAGAGGGAAATTTCGTTAGTTATTGTAATTCCTTACTTATATCAAGCAGCTTGAAGTCTGCTTGAGGTCTAGGGGTTTAGTAAGTGGTACAGTATTGCTTTTTTAATGTATTCAAGGATTTGATAAACCACTATAGTAAGCCTATGTTCTGTGTTTGACTATAACATAGCATCCCCGAAATGTGAAGATCAAATGAATGATCTCCATAGATTTTTGTCTCTCAAAATAGCTTTATGGCTGTGACTGTAATATGAAAATGGTTGCCAGTCCTTGCTATTGATTAATTTTGGTCTACTCCAGACATTCAGCCATAAGCAAACAAAACATTTTTTTATTTTTGCTAATGAAGACTTTTTGTTTCTAATGACAGTTAATTTTGGTGTGACACTGAAGGGTGGAGCTGTGGTTTAAAACGTCACAGAGTCTCATTCTGAAACTCACAGACACAATCAACTTTGCTCCCAGCATGGCAGAGAAATCTTGTAGTGAATGACAGGAATGCAAGCAAAAGTAAGAATTATTTTTTAAAAACAGAGTGATATTCAAGCAACCCAATGGATCTTTATTTTTCACTATGGGCCTGATACTGTTCCCACTGAAGCCAATGCTAAAACTCCCATTAACTTCAATGGTGCAAGATCAAGACCTTTAAAGCCTCAACTAACATCAATATATCCGTGGTTAAACACTGAATATTTAGGGTATGTCTACACTGCAATTGAAAACCCATGGCTGGCTCGTGCCAGCTGACTTGGGCTTGGGCTAGGGGCTGTTTAATTGTGTTGTAGATGTTTGGTTTCAGCCAGACACCCGGGCTCTAGGGTCCTGTGAGGCAGCTCCAGCAGGAATATCTACACCACACTTAAACAGTCCCTTAGCCCGAGCCCAGCGAGCCAGAGGCAGCTGGCATGGGCCAGGTGCAGATGTCTAATTGCAGTGTACATTTAGAGATTCAGACGCCGCTCTGGTAAGTGTCATTCACATAGCTACAGCTTTCACTAGCTCTTCATCCATAGCCACATGGCTGTCAGCTTTTGCTTTTCATGTGTAAAAAGGCTAATTGAAGTGTGCCCTTTAGGGGTTTGTGGACAGCACCTTGTGGTAGAGTGCTTAATGAGAGTTATTATTAGTGGAGTTCCTAAGTGATTTACCTGCAGTGCAAAGAACTTTGGTGGGGGTGAAAAGGAAAAGTCTGATTACCAGGTTCCTGCAGTGTTAATTTCATTTTCATGGCTGACAGGTAAGTAGAGAACAACCAAATTTTGGGGAAACTGAAATTATACTTATAATAGCCGCTCTGTTGACATAACCACAAATAAAAACCACAGATGGAACTGCAGTAAGACATCTGCAATGAAAAAAAACTATATGAGAAGAAGAAAATTAGATCCATGCACCAGAACCTCACGTGAAACTATGGGAGGAAATGTACAGTGCATCCTGTTCTTGCCTTTCTTTCATCACATTTATTCCTTACGACACTTTAATTCTGTGACCTCTAAAATATATGCAAGAGTAACATATTGCGTACACAAGAGTGGCTAAACCACTAAGCATAGTCTCTTTCCTTGAGTTCATTTTGCACAATGGCTGCCTGTGGGACAGCTCATCCTGCTGTGAATTCTAGCACTGGGAAGAGAGCAGTTCCAGGATAGCAATTCCAACTTCAGTAGAGGTGACTTGTAATGTGAACTACACTTGGACTGTCTGGACACTGGTTGGCAGACAAAATTAAATGCTGGAAAGACCTCGTACTGTGAGATTCTAAAGACAATGTAATTCTCTCTACATACTTGGAGAACTGTTAGCTCTGTAGTTAGTTACAATGAGAGATGCCTTAGGGTGGATTGGAGTTGGTGTGGGGAAGGTGGTTTGTCAAGGGGATTGGATGATGTCAAGACCATAGCTACCTTTGTGCCTCCTCAATTTTGGCCCCCCCTTCTTAGCATAATTTACAGCAGCTGCAGGGGTTGCGTTTCCTTAGAATAACTTTGAACATCCCACGTTGACTGCTCCGTGGGCCCCAAACATCTGGAGTATAGAGCACTCTGACCACAACTCCTCCATTACACAATATTCCCACTACCATCCCCTAAAACACTGGTCACTACTGGAGGATGGCACAGCAACTTTGTTCACCCTACCTCACCCAGGGAACTCTGCACCAGGAGAATACCCAGGTGCCAAGATGCAGCTGTTTTCAACCCCTTTATGGCCCAGAAACAAAATGTAAAGGGGCCAGATCACAGCCCTTGGTGACTCCTGTGAAACCCATTGGTTTTGCAGAGGTAACTAATTGGAATGGAATGTAAAATTCTGTTGATGGTGCACAAGGAGGAATACAATTCAGCTCCCTCTCTTGTTGCTGTGTTGGCTCAGCCAGGCTAAAGGAGTAAAAAGCAGTGAAAACTTATTTTTGCCATGAAAGTGAAACGGATCTGACTCCCCGTGTACAGGGAGCAGCTCTGTGGAGTAGGAAGGTGCACGTTCTGCAGCGTAGAATGCTCAGTAGCTGGCATAAACCTGTTGATTTATTGGAATAGATGTCAGTGGCCTAGAGAATCCACATAGAAAAGGGAGAAGGAGGTTAAGTAGATCTGTACGTCTCACTTCCTGACATGAACCCCTAGTTTTTATTATATACGACATCACCTCTATTCCCAAAGTATGAATCTCTTTGAGAATGAGCGGGTATGTCCTAACTAGCCAGGAAGTGAGTTACCAGTCATCTGTATCAGGAGAGTTCCTTCATAAAGGCTGATATACACCCATGTGCAGAGGGGGTTAGTATGAGGCTAACGCATCACTTTCCATTTATTGCATAAAATGCAGTAGTGCCTAGAGGGCCCCAACCAAAACTGGGTCCCCACTGTACAAACACATCATGAAAGGCAGTCCCTGCCCCAGAGAGCTTACAGCTTAAATAAACAAGACAGAGAAAGGGTGGGAAGGGGGAACAAAGGGACAGTGAGAGGAAATTACTTGCCCATGGCATACAGCAGCTGGAAATAGAACCTAAATCTCCATCAATTGCCCTATCTGTTGAGAACATCAGTTCTCATTCCGAGGGCTTAAATGTAATTTAAGTAGTGCATAATCATCATTCCAGCCCTCTGCATGGTGGGGAGGGGAACAAATCATACACAGAGCATTTAGCTTATGTTCCTTATTGCCTATCAGTGCCCTAAGTCACTGCCAAAATGTAGGCCTAAGCCAAGAAAAGTTTTATCTTTTGCACAAATACAGATTTGACGTTTTTTCCAGCTTTGCTCAGGACAGTAATTAAAAAGCCTAGGAAGTGAGTATACATGAAATCATTCCTTCCGTACAGGCAGACAGATGGAGAGAAATTCCAGTCTGTTTCCACTCTTTTGTCTTCAGAGCATTTTTGGAATTTCCTTCAGGAAGTGAGAGGTTCTGACCTAAAGCCTTCCTCAGTTAGTAGGCTCCAGTTTCCCACAGTAAACCTTGCACAGAAATGACGTACTGCATAAGAAGGTGAGGTTTATCTTTACGCCCCAACTGTATCCTGTATAAGCTGAATGAAACTTTTAAAGTATTACCTAGAGAGAATGGCAGCAATAGGGGAAATGGAAGAGTCAAATCTTGGAAGAAATACAGTAGCTACTGAAAAACATTGGCCAGATCCTCAGCTGACAAAGTCAGTGGAGTGACATTGATTTATGCCAATTGAGGCTCTAGCTTTATATTTTAAATATAAACCACCTTGATGTTTGTAATAAGCTAACAGCAAAATTCACAACTATTTTTAAAGATTTTTTCCCCCATTTCCATATATAATTACAACAGAAATGGGACTGATTAATATATGACTTAATTTCTAATGCATGATCTCCTGAATTATATGGTATTTCACTTACTCCCGTCTGGACAGTAACTGCAGTAATCTCCATTATTTGCCATAGTGAAATTTCTTGCTTTGGAGCATAGATATATTCAAGTTCTTTTACTGGCACCCATCACCTTTCTATTGGAGCACCTAAACAATCATGTTCTTGTATCCTTTTATATTGTTTTGTAAATAAAGGTGTCATTATGGATCTATGTCCTTAATTGAACAGAAATGTCATGCAGAATCAGCTTCATCCAATGTCTATTGAAATCAATGAGAGTCTTTCCATTGACTTCTATGATCAATTAATCATGCTCCATATCTTTATGATAGTACAAAAAAATTGTGATAGTAGCATCTTAAAAAAATCAGTTTATTAATGTTTAGAAATCAATAAAGCTATGTGCAAATTGAACAATAAAAGTCAAAACATTTTAAATACTATTTTTTAAAAACAAAGAAAAAAATCAGTTTAATTGCACTGGAAATCATACTACAAAGACAATATTTTTATAGAAAATCACTTCTAGGTTTCGACAATAACTGTACATTAATCAATTGTTCAGCTACCCCGATACACTTTTTTGTTATAGTAATGCTCTAGGTGTTTGAAGACTTCTGCATCTCGTTAATTATATCTATTGAATACATTCAATCCCCTTAATGCAGGTTAGAAAAATACCGTAATAGAAATGATGCCATAAAACAAATACATTCAATTTAAATTAAAGGTATTTCTTACGTGAATTGATAAAATACAGATATCTTTCCTGAAATTATGAACATTCTAATCAAAGAACACAAAGTAAGTGTCAAAAAATGTCTTGCATTTTGTTATGGAAGTACATTTATATGTCATCAATAGCCATTTCACTTGGACAAAGGTCCTTTTTTATTTCTCTGAATCTCATGGTATTCTATACAGACTTTCTAATCAATCTTTACTATGGAAACACTATGGGCCAAATCCTGAAGTTCTTTTTCAGTTTTTACTCTGTCCTTACTCAGGCAAAAACACTGATGCCAATAGTACTTGATATTATATTTATCTTGTCAAATATCACACGTTAATTTTCTCTTTAACTGTAGTTTTATCCTGTAACTATTATGGTCATGTAATTTATTTCATACTCAATATAACAAATCAATAGATCTATCGGGCCAAATGCTATTCTGAGCTCCTCCCATGCAATCCTGTTGACTTCTTTGGGGTTATATGAATGTAATCGAATGCAGAGTCTGGCTCATGATCGTAAAAGTAATATGAATTTTCAGCACAACTTCACAGAACTGATCTTGCTAAAGAAAAGCTTTGGACTCTGCAGATGAAATCTTATTACATCTAAAAAACTCAGGAAAGTGATGCCAGCCTATGGTTGTCAGTGATCTAGATTACATTGGTGTAATCTCTTTCCTGCTGTGTGCCAAATGGCAAACGCTTGTGACCCAGGATAGTAGAGCCATCCCTAAACTTGGTACAGAAAGGTCTTTTGTGTCAGGGCTTTTTCTGCAAGTGAAGAAATAATAACTTCACGTTCTTCACACAGAAAAAAAAATTCATTTTCCCACCCTCCTCCTTCTGCCTCTCAGTCATGCACATACTCGCACACACACACGGCACCGTTTCACCAAGGCATCAGTCTTTCCGAGTTATGAATACTCCTGGCAATCCTGAGTCTGCCTCAGTGCAAAGACAAAACATGCTCCATAGGGAAATGTTTTCAAGCCAGAACAGTCTGTCCCACTTCCTGAACTCCACCCTTGCAAGTGCCCTGCTTGCCTCTTCAGAACTAATGCTACCTTGCTCACTTAGGCCATCTCTTTGGAGTTGCTACAGTGAGCAGGTAGCTTCTTGTCTGTCAGGTTTCAAAGGGGAGGCTTTTAAATATGCCCCCGATGGATACTTCTAAGAAGATGAGTTGACATTGCCTGAAGACATGATTGTCTCCGGGCAGTCACCCTCATCCTTCTGTGGGTGGGAGGAATTGTCAGATTTGCTTCGGCTAAACTCCATCCCTCCTATGATTGGCCTCTTGAATTTGGCCCCAGAATCTGCAGAGGGGCATTTGCAGCAGCACAGGATCTTGATGAAGGCCCTCCGCATCTCTTTGTTGGTTAAGGTGTAGATGATAGGGTTCGTGGCTGAATTGAGCACAGCCAGTACTAAGAAATATTCAGCTTTGAAGAGGATTGAACAGGCCTTCACTTTGCACCCCACATCCAGCAAGAGTAGGATGAACAAGGGACTCCAGCAGGCAATAAATGCGCTCAGGACAATGATGACTGTCTTGAGTAAGGCTAGGGATTTCTCTGAGCTCCTTGTGGCTTTGGTAATGTTTTTTCGAAATGTCAGCCTGCGGCTCCGAGTCCTGACCATGGAATAGATCCTGCAGTAGAGGACAACGATGGATAATAAAAGACCAGTGAAAACTGTAGTGCAAAAGAGAATATAGTGCTTATGGTAGAGAGGCAGCACAGTGGAGCAACTCTGCAGGTGGTCGAGACAGTTCCAGCCCATAATAGGGAGCCCCCCTAGGATCATGGATATCACCCAGCAGGCACTGATCAGTAGGAAGGAGCGGAAGCTGTTGCTCCCATTGTGGAGTTTCATCTTCAGCATAGTGATATACCTCTCAATGGCAATGGCCAGCAGGCTGAACACAGAGGCTGACAGAGCTACAAACATGCTGCCTTCCCTGACAAACCACTGGGCAGGGGTGAGACTATAGGTTTTGTGTCCAGATAACAAAAGGTTGGCAGTATAAGCCACCCCAGCCAGCAAGTCTGACAGAGCCAAATTCCCAATGAAATAGTACATGGGTCGATGAAACTTCTTGGTTTTCCAGATGGTCAGCAGGACAAAAATGTTCTCTAAGATGATAAAGCAGCAAATGATGATAAAAACCACTGAGGTCACTTTTATTCCACTGTCTGCCTTCTCGTTTAACTTCCCTGTGAAGTTGTAATGTTTCTTAATGATTTCAGAGTTGACATAATCGCTGACTGAGTCATTGAAAACTTTCTTCTGGCGGCTGCTGGTAGAGTCCATGGTTCCAGGCTGAGTGGCACTTCTCCAGCCGCCCACTAGAGGGTGAAGTCAAGTAGAAACCTCACCGGCCACCCTTGTGGCAGTATCTTTGAGGTGGAGGCTCCAGTGTCCGGTACTCCCTGGGTAACCTCAGACACCACAGCCCTTAAAGCAGGGGCATAAACAAAGCAAAGAGTCAGAGGAAGGGATGCAAACAAGGTGGCAAACTGAAAACAATGTAAAACAATCTGTTCATTTCACTGCATGTCAGGTTTAGATATTAGATCACAAACGAATCACTAAGGTCCATTCACCCTCTCCCCCCACCATGTAAAAAAAATGGCTCAGCAAAGTAAATAGATAAAGCTCATCCAATAAAATTTTTTTCTTAATGCAGATTTGCACAAATAAGTAAGAGAAATGGGACTTGCACTGAGTGTCTATATCTCACCCAGTGCGAGGGATCCCAAGGTAAGCCAGTGGAAAACACAAGTTCCATCTCTCTCCCTCTCAATTTCTCAAACTTTTGACATAGGAAACACCTTTTAAAAGTTCAGGTTTAGAAAGAGAAAAGGCTTGATTTGTTTTAAATGCAACTGAAAATGCACAAAATGAGTCCGGCATGAAAATCACTTGACTGGAGCGACCTCACTGTTTTTCCACTATTAACATTCTAAATGTGTTGTGAGGGAGGGCAGTTCTGCAATTTACTGATGCCATCTTGAGAAGAGGTAAAGGGGTTGGTGCTCACTGATGTGTGTAAAGAGACCCATCTCAAAGCTGTAAGCAGAAAAGCTGCCCCTACTCACTTCTATTTGGCAACATCATCCTTTGCAAAAGTTGTGCCAGTGTAAAATTCAGAAAAACAAATAAAATAAGCTATCAAACACATTTTGTAAGTCTGTCTGAAACAAAGGAATGAGCAAATGTCAGTTTGGAATTTAGTTATGGCAAATACAAATATAACTTGTATAAACACACAAAAAAGAAAATTTATAAGGCTTGTAAAATTATAGGTGCCACTTAAGGGTGGAAGTAAAACAAAAGCAAATGAATTAGCTGTGTTAAATAATGCAATGAAAGCAGAAAAGAAAAGATTATAGAAGTAGAGAAGCAGAAAGTGGAATCCCAGGTGCCTAGCATGTTAAGGTGTGATATACAAGAGTGATCTATTGAGTGATCAGATCATTACTTCTCTATCAAATTCTCCCAGAGATCTCACTAACAAATTTGTGTAGTTTTACTGTGAAATATTCTTTTGCCTACTCCTGGCCAAACACAGTTGCTGATGCTGAGTAGTTAACAGTTGCTAAGGACACTGGCTATTCTACTTCACTCATCAAAATGAGAATCACAAAGCAGAAACTCTGTGTTTGTATGGTGCTTGGCACAATGGGTCTCCATTCCTGGATGTTTCTGAGGTACACTACTGTAATAAACCTGAGTAATAATAATTAAAGCTAAACCCACATCTACTCCGGCAGAAAGTAAGGGGAGGCTCAGCTGCCGATGAAGGAAGCTCTTGAGTCAGTAATCCAGTATTTATTCTGGGGAAGACTCACTCAGAGCATTGATTTTTAAACGGGGATTTATACCAAAAAGCTGGTTTCTAGTGCCAGCGTCCCAAACTGTGCTCCCAATGCTTACCTTGCTCAGAAAGCGTTCAGTCTCTGAAGCCACTGCACTCCGCATCTCTACTGCCCCAGAAGGAACTCCAACTTGGCTTTGTTATGCAAGTGGCTTTAAACGTTTCCTTTAGCTAGTGGTCTCCACCCCTTCGGTTTCCTATTTTTCTAAAGAGACGATTTAAGCAGCTTTTTAACTCTTCAGTAACCACAGGCTGATTTCGTTGCATCTGCCCTGCTGGGTTCCTTGACACACACAGCTGAATTCGAGATCTGAACCCTAGACAGGGTGCGGTGCCCTAACTGAAATCAGTCAAGCAGAGAAGCTTCGGGCCGCCAGGCTCAGCTCTCCTCCCACCCTTTTCTCCGGTGCCCGAGCCAGCGCTCCGCTGCCGGCGGGGAAGGGTTAATCCCATCTCCCTCCTGCTGCAGGGGCTGTAGCAGCTCGGGGGCTGGGTGTTTAACACAAAACACACATGGGAAGAGGCGCTGAGGAGCCAGCCTCAACGCTGGTGGAAGCCCCTCGAGGAGTCACTCTGGAGCTAGCCTGGTACAAAGCAGGGCTAGCCTCTTCCTCTCCCTTCTACCCCCAGATTTCATAGTCAAGTCAGCGACAGGATGCAGAGCTGGGGAGACCCGAGATTTCCGCCAGAGGAGGTGGGGGGAGACCTAGCACGAAATGACTTCATTCTTTTAACCTTTGAGTGCCTAAAAGACATCCCAGTCTCCCACCTCCCAGAGGCCCCCTGCTTCAGGCACTAGGCAATGTCACCCTCTCTGGGATCCTTGCTCCCCCGGGGGCATCAGTGCCCCACAGCGGGAAAGGCTGTGTCTTTGAATCGTGTTGGCTCCCTCTAGGTGGCTTAGCATGCTTGAAATGCCTGTCGAGATGCCCGCTTTGCTAAGCAAACTGGATTGAGCTAACAGACCCTTCTGCCCGGCAAGGCGGAGCAAATGTGAGGTGAGTGGAAACCTGTACATCAGCTCCCCTGGGAAAGCAGCAGTTTGGCCAGGAGAACGCAAGTGATGGCATCGCAGGTCTTCTTCCTTTTCACTGCTGCCCAAGGAGTACCACAGCAGCAGCCGGGACCCCGTCCGCCCTTCTGCCGCCAACACTAGGATAGTGACGACTGAGGCCTGGGCTCCCCTCTTCCACCAGCAGACATTGGCAGGCTCCTGCAGCTCCAAGTGTTAATGCCAGGACCTGCCTGTCTCCTGAGAGCAGATGGCCTATGCTGTGCGCAGTGTGCTCCACTTGCACTCCTTGACCGTGTGCGATGACAGCATCATCAGTTCAGGGGTGGCAGGTTTGTATAATTTTTGGTGGTGCCCAGAATGGGTCAAAGTCCTGCCTCCCCACCCCCACCTGCATATTGGTGCACATAAAATTAATGGGGTGGGGCCGAAGGGTTTGGGCTGTGGGAGGGGCTCAGGGCTGCGGCAGAGGGTTAAGGTGCAGAGAGTGAGGACTTTGGCTGGGGATGCGGGTTCTGGGGTGGGACGGGGCTGGGGATGAGGAGTTTGGGGTGCAGGCAGGCTGCCCCAGGGCTGGGGCCAGAGAGGAGGGACTCCACAGTCCCTGCAGCCCTCTGCTGGCAACAGCAAGCTCTGAGGGAGGGGCCCCCTCTGCCCCATGGCAGCACACTGACCAGGCACTGTCACTGCATGTGCTCCTAAGGGCCTGGCCCCTCTCAGGTCCAGAAGCCTCCTCGCCTCCCCTGTGGTGAGTGCCGGGGTGGGGTGGGGGCTGCCATCACACATGTGCCTTCTCCCTCCTCAGCCTGCTGCCCCCTTTTGTAGCTGGCAGTGGCCAGCGAGGGAGCGCAGTGCGGAGCAGCAGGGCAGCTGCCCAGGGCGCAGGCAGAGATGCTCCAGGGGAGACGCACAAAAGCAGCAGGCGGCGCTGGGGGATGCTCCAGGGGAGGTGCCCGGGGTGGCTGGCAGGGCCTGAGGAAGAGACCTTGCTCCAAACATTGGTGGAGCCGGGTCCCCGGACTCTGAATTTTCTGGAGCACGGGCACCATGGGCCCATATAACTTGCCACCCCTGAGCATATTGACCCCAGAGCCAACAGTCACAGTCATGAGCCTTTTATGCCAAATAACTAATCTGTCCCTGATTCTTCCCCCTCCTGCCCATTAATTCCAACATCTACCTTTCCTATGCCAGCCAACAATAGAGGACCACGGGTTCCAAACTAGGATTTGTCACAGATGAGAAGGAAACTCCAGCATCTCTTCTGTTCTTTCCCCACCAAGAGATTCTCTAGATGGGGTTAAGAGGTAAAGAAATCAGGATGACAATGATGGAGACCATACCAAAAAATAGTGTCACAGTGTGCCCTTTGTATGTCATTTCATATGCTTCTGTTCCAGCTGTGGATTTTAAAAATAACACTTGTGGAATGAGTTGAATAAAAGGTTTGTTGTTATTGCCTCTAAAAATGGAACATTTCTCATTGTTTTGTGCCACACGGTTATACTTGACCCCTTTTTGTGGTAACGTTCTTATCTACAAAAGGCAGTGTGGGCTAGTGAAATGACCATATTTTGGGTAGCTAATAGCACTTGAGATCTGACACTAACTCCCTGTGTAGCCATGAGTAATTCACCTAAATTCACTGTGTATCAGATTTCCCATCTGTATAAAGGAAAAAAACCACTTACCTTTTGAACTTCCCTCACTGGGTGTGGTGGTGGTGGTGGGGGCATCCTGAGGATTGATTAATATTTGTAAATATCTGAAGATGTGAAGCACTTTCATTCTGAAAAATGCTAAATATTGTAAATTCATTATTTATTATTAGAACAAAAAAGGCAGTGACAGTGACTGGTGCTGAGAGAGAGTTGGTGGATACTCCATGGATAGAGAATTTGTGTGTGTATGTGTGTGTGTGTGTGTGTGAGAGAGTGAGTGAGTGAGTGTTACATGGGGTTTATTCACTCTCCTTTTAAACTTCTGAAATAAATACTATTCTGTAGTGTTTGGAATATTAACCCTTACTTGGGTGGTCAATGTGGCTAACCATGCAGAAACCTTCTTCCCCTCCCTTGCACTGTTCTCTTTACCCCCACCCAAGATCACAATACAAAGGAACATCACAACACGCAATAAGATTTTAATAAATTAGGTCTTTTATTTCACAATATTACATGCAATTCAGTTGGCAATAACACTGCCACACAGACCAGAGCATCTCATTTTATTTACGTTGATAGTCATGTTTCAATTGCTCCACACCTCTCCCTGAATGATTCAGCTGAAATTGTACTTGAAAACAGACATTTACTCATCTACCACAAAACTAGAATCATGAAAGTTCTTGAGACTGGAGGAAAATACAGCGGTTAAATTGCAACTGTCAGAAAAGTCATGCAAAAATAAATCATGCTTGAGGTTGACATATGCATCCCCTTGTAACTGCCTCACATACACAAGTTGCATATTTTAGTGACACCCCTTATTTAGCTTATTTATGAAGACAACTAAGTGGAAGTGAGTTAATAGATATCTTTTTAAATGTGTTTCTTTTCAGGAAATACATTCTCCTGTAACCTTACTCTAAGGTAGCAGTACATGAAAGTAACGTGCTGTACTTGGGGATGACTCAGGGTATCTCTGTACTGATTTTTATGTGTCTGGTCAAAATCCAGCCTAAAATGGTCCTGACTGAAAGTTGTTCTCATCTGACTATTCAGTGGCCTGTGTAAAATGGCTTCGTAATCTCAATCCAGTTCTCAGGAATCAGGTGCCCACATCACAAAATCCAGCATCAATGCTGGTTGACCATCCCTACTTGACATCCGTGTTGGCAGCTCAGCAAACAACAAATGGTACATGGAGGCTGAATTATCTTCTTACCCTTTCAGATACTCTCCCTAGAACAGGCATGACGCATGTTATTTGTCACTATCTTTCCTACACTTCTTTTGTGATCTTTTTGTCCTCCAGGTGCATCTCCTCCTTTTCTTCTCTCCCAGCCTTTTCCTCTGCTTCTGCACTTTTTCCAAGGCTGATTTCTAATGAGTCTTTTTGGTGCATTTCACTGGGTTACAGACTACAGGAGCACAGGCAAAACCAAACTTTTCTGTTTCTGGCTATATTGAACAGGCTGAATAACTCCGGTTCTTATTCTGATATCTGAGAATAAGCACTTTGTCTCATGCAAGCATTATTTCTGAGTCACAATAGCTGATACAGTACTGGAAAAGAAGCAAACTCCAGGGCTACTTTTGGTTTGATTTTGCTACAGGCTGTTTACCTAGCCTGAATCAACTGTGAAAAGACAAGTGGAGATTCAAAGAAGCCAGAGCTAGGCAAGAGACAAAGACTTGTTAATTCTGCTGTGCACCCATTTGTCCAAGGATAGGTTCTCTCCCTAATGAATCCATATGGACAAGGAGAATTCCCCACCCTTCCTTCAGAGGTTCTTACCCCATTCTACTCCGTTTAAACTGTACACTTTCCTCTCTTGAGACAATAAGAGTGCATAAAAAGCTAATGAGTACCCATCTCCAAGGGGCACTGTTACTGCTCCAGGAATTGGCCCGCAGGAGGTGACTGCATATCTAGTGAGTTCCCCATCTACTGAGTTTATCACCTTTGTGATCTCAACAAGATATCCCAAACTGGTTCTGAACCTGGGTACTCCACATCACAACATGAAGTGTTACTGTCCTGTCACTTTTTCAGTATAAATAGTTTTGTTTTGCGTGTATACCAAAATCACCCCAGTAAAGCCAGGCACAATTGCACTGATGTGCTTGCTATTCCATTGCAAGTCACAGGAGAAGCACCCATGTATATCAGGGCTAAGTTTGGCCAAGGTCTTTCTTTTAGCTGTGCTGTGACTTTCTTCTTTTCTTTCACTCTTATTGTACCAATCCGAAATGTAAATGAACATTTTGTGTCAAAGTAAAGCTGCAGGCCAATTCAGATGATTAAGTTCTTGTATAATTGATATCAGGTAAATTTCAGAAGATCTACTGAGATAACGGTTGCCCCATATTTTTTTAAGAAATGAGACTGAAAACGATGACCCAAAGCTTATGTATTACTTAAGGAATGCCATCTCAAAAACAGTGTGAACAGAGATATTGTGAGTTTGTATATTGAATAGGAAATGGCCAGAAATTTCTCTCCAGCTACTGATGAGTAGCTGGCTCTTAGAGGGATACAGTAGGTCACCTGAATATGTATCTGCACTATTTACCATTGTTGTTGTTGTCTATTAATGAACTAGTTTACACTAGCATTTCATTCCGTCCTGGTTAACGATAGAAAGGGAACTTTTCTGTTAGATCTCTTAACTTTCCTAAATTTAAAATGACTGCCGGCTCCACTGTGAAGGAATGCTGTATTGAATACATCCTAAATTATCCTGCTATAAAATCTAACATCTCTGAAATTCCATATATATGGCTCATTTGAACTTTCTGCTCTGGAATCACCTGTGTTCAAGATCAGGAGAAAGGTTATCTTTAGCCCAGAATTAGAGAACAAAGGGACATTGTCCCTGAATCTCAAATATATCAGAAAGCAAATTTCAGTGGGATGGATGTAGTATAGTTAAATGTCTAGCAGTGGACTGTTACAGAGCAGCCACTTCACCCGTATGTTTTCTTAAAAAGTTGGGTGTCAGGAAACCATGCGACTGGGAAAGTTTAACTACTGCTTCCAGTAGTTAGAGCAGTGGTTCTCAAACTTCTGCATCAGCGACTACTTTCACACAGCAAGCCTCTGAGTGCGACTCCCCCACTATCCACTCTGTACATTTTTTGTAGACTGCCCACAATTTTTTGCACACAATCATTTGTGCAGTCAAACCTTTGAGTCTTTGAATGCAAAAAGTGCTTGTTTCTTTAATAAGACAAAATGAAGACTGGAGATCAGGCACCATGAGAGCTATCAGGGCTGTTCCTTCAAGTAAGTCAGGACTTGATGGTCCTTGTAAGAGTGCCAACAGCGTAGCTTTGCCCAACTGAGGAAGAGTTCAGATAATGGCCTGCAGTGTCCTGGAAGAATTTACAAAATTAAATGAAAACGGGAGAAATGTAAACTACAGAATGGAGACTCTGAGTCAGATTCTGATCTCTGTTGCACCACTGTAAACCAGGCGTAACTACACCCAACTTCAGTAGTTTCTCTGGATTTGTACTAATGTG